AAAAGCCTTTGATCTCTCTGTGTTACCAAACTTCGTTGCTCAAAGATTTCTGATCAAGTTCATTCCTGTCCTTCAGTGGCTCCCTAGCCCAGACAGAATACATTCAAGTCCTGGGCCTACTGTATCTCAGCAAATCACAACCTGAGCCCTGTCCACTGTTCTTCCTCTTTCTGCCACATTTCAATGTGTCATGTCAAAAAACAGTTAACAAAACCCTCATGCCATGGTTTTTCTTGCCTCTGGAGTTTGCACATGTCCCTGTTTCTATCTGGAATTCTCCTTCCCACTTTCTATTGAATTACTGTTCATCATTTAAGGCTAAACTCAAATGTCACCACCCCATTAAAACTTCTCGTCCTAACCTCTCCAGTGGGCAGATGCACTCTGTTTTGTCTTTACACCGTACTGTTTATACATAGTAAACCTATTTTAGCACTTTGTACACAGCACTATAATTCCTTATTGACTTTATATTCTCCCAAACAATAATTTACATTAAGAGCAGAAGCTTTGTTAGTTGTGCTATTCCCAGGACATAAAAGAATGCCCGATGTCATTAATTATAAATTAAATATATGAACATTATTATGGCACTCAAAACACGATGGTTAGAAACATGTGAAAAATGGGGTGGCACTTGTGGCTCAAAAGGGTAGGGCAGGTTCAAACCCAGCCCCGGCCAAAAAAAAAAAAAAAAAGAAAGAAACGTGAAAAAGATTCCTGGGCGGTGCCTGTAGCTCAAAGGAGTAAGGCGCTGGCCCAATATGCCTGAGGTGGCAGGTTCAAACCCAGCCCCAGTCGGAAACAAACAAACAAACAAACAAAAACAATTCCTAGAATATCACCCATAAAGTGACATGTGGATTCGGTACAGTGGCTCACACTTGTAATCTCAGCACTTTGGGAGGCCAAGGTAAGAGGATGACTTGAGGTCAGGAATTCAAAACGAGTCTGAGCAACATAGCGAGACCACTATCTCTACAAAACATATGAAAATTATCCAGGTGTGGCAGTGCATGCCTGTAGTCCCAGCTTCTTGGGAGGCTGAGACAAGAGTTGCTCAAGTCAACTCCTTGAACCCAGGAGCTTGAGGCTGCAGTGAGCTATGATGATGCCACGGCACTCTAGCACAGGTAAGAGTAAAATCCTCCCTCAAAAACAGAAAAAAGAGAAACATGAATGGGGAATATAGTGTCCTAAAAACTAAAACTGTAAAATAAAACATAATAGATTCAATGATGACCTTATTCTTTGATATGATTCATACTGTTACCTTCAATTTTGGGGGGTGCATTTTATAATATAATCTCATTGAGGACAGACACACTGATATCTTGTTCAGCCTAATAGTACAGATGATCCAATGTCATTTTTTTAATAATAGGTAGACCTACCCGGAAATGCTTTAACTACCCATACTTTTTCTTCCCTGTAAAGTAGTTATTTTTGTGCATATCATCTGAAATAGATTATATGGTCTTTCAGGTTGAGAAAGGGGCTAAATATTGTTCCCCAAAGAGGACACTGCGTATGGCAAGCATTCAGTAAATCCTGATGAATGAGTTAGAAAATCTTCATTCAAGAAATGTGGAGAGATTTTGAAAATGAGAAATTTTAAAGGTGATGTTTTCCACCCTAAACTTAAAGGCTTCACTTTGCAATACTAGCTTAGCATTAAACTCTGCGGCAAGCATGCATCGGTCAGTACAGCTGAGGCCAAAAACCAGTGGGCTGACCATTTAGGTATCCAGGAATGGAACACACCTATCTTGAAAACAAACAAGCAAACAAAACAACAACAAAAAAACCCTCAAAACAAACAACAAAACAAAAAACCACACCCAAACTATGTATGTGAGGTTGCAATATTCTCCACCTAAGAAGACACTGCTATAAGACTTTACCTGGGGCTGCTAGGCTGGCAGTATTTATGTCTTTTGTGTTACCTCTCTAACAGATGGCTTATATCTGTGAGATAGTGAATGGAGTTCATTAAGAGGGAGTGGGATTGAATTCTTTCAGTGAAGTTAAATGGTTAGCAAGATCATGGTCTCATATAAGCTTAGTTAACTAGTGATAGCCCAGTCCACCTTCATTACCTACAGTTTTCACATGTTAAATTTCAGAGGGCAACATGGCATAAATTAGGAGAGCTTAAAGATCAATGGATATGAACAGAGGGTCAAAAATAAAATGGAGTATGGGGAGATCTAGAAATATGGCCAAAGGATAAAATAAGTCCCCCAAAAGGATATCATCTAGCATTTAAGATTGCACCTGGGAATTGTTACGTTTTATATACAGGGTGAGAAATTTCTGAAGAGGAGCCTTGGAGAAAAAAATACCTTAAAGGAATCAGAAAATTAGAGAGGAATTGAGAAATCTAAGAGGAATGGTGTTTCAAAAATGTTTACTTGGCCCCTGTCTATACATCCACTCAAGGTGAGCATTTCAGATACAGGGGTAATGAGGCAGCTCTGAGCCCTGCTCTCTTAAAGCACATACTCCGGTCCAGTATCTCGTCCAGTATCTCTCGTCCGAGAGTCACAAAGGAACTTGACTTCAACGTGATCTCTTGTTTCTCCAAAGGCATTATTTTCATTGGAACATCTTTGTCTTTTTTTATGGAGGTTTATATTCAAGTAAAAAAGATAACAAAGGGCTTAAATTTAAACCTATCAAGCTGCTCAACCATAAAAAGTGAAAAGCAAATTGATATGCTTTTGGAAGTGATATTGTTCTATCTAGATAAAAGTCCAAGACATGGTTCAGAGGGTAAGGAGCCAGAGGAAATGAAGAGATAAGAGGAACAGATGGGAGGCTTTTGTAAGCCTAAGATCCCTGCTCGTATGAGGAGTGGTAGAAGTTTTAGCAGCTAAAGAAAAATCACATTTGCAAGAAAGGTCTTTCCTACAGTGGTTCCCAGCCATGACTATATATTAGAATATCTAGGGACACTTAAGTAAATGAATAAACTATCAGACTCTGGGCATTCCCCAGAGAGTCTAATTTAATTAGTTGGAACTGGCAACAATATTTTTAAAGGCTGCTCATGTTTTTAAGTGCAAAGGAGTTGAGAACCATCCATTGGGCTAGATTAAAAAAAAAAAAACAGAAGAAAAAGATGATATGGGGGCGTGGAAAAAATTCAATAAATCATCTTCTACTTTTTTCTTTCAGAATTAGGCTATGTTTTCCGAAAGTATGACATCGCTACAAGTGGTTCTTGAGAAGGTATTTGACTTGATGGCACATGAATAAGCCATCTTTGCCTACAATCCATATATATATATACATACTTACATTTACATATGTTTACATACATACATAAAATATATATATATTTGAATATTAGAATATAACCATAATATCAATCTGAGATTTCATGCATATTACATATATTGCTTAAGGTGAGGCTAAGGTGAGCATTTAGAAATTTAGAAAGTGAGTAATTTAGAAATTTAGGTTTGAAAGTTAGAAAGTGAGTCAATTTAAATGAAGAGTCTGCAAATCCTAGTACAGGGGAAATAACAGATATGGACGAGGTAAAAGCTCCTAAAAGAGGCAGGCAAAAATCTGGAGCTTGGGGAACATGGAGGTAAAGCAGCCCAGAGCCTATGAAATCTTTCTTCTCAGATCTTCCCATTCTAAACATGTCCCCCTCCCACAGCAATGCGGCGGGCCCAAAGCCATCATCCTCTCTCTGCTCTTCCCACATGGATGTCTGCACCTCATCCCAAGCACTCAGATGCTTCTCTGCTGGGCTTGAACTCAAATCAGCCTCGCTGTCATGATCTGATTACTGATGTCATAGCCTGGGACTCACTCCTGTTTCCTCTTTCAGATTCAAATCTGAGCTAAACTTAACTTAGGGTGGCTTGGCCACCTGAGCATAATAGGGCAGCAAACCAATGCTCACAAGGTGTTCCAGCCCCAAAAGCACAAAAGTGAAACCAAAGTGACCCAAATCCAGGTTATGTAAACTCAAAGGAGAAGGAGAGATGAAAATCCCAAACCAAGCAAACAAAACCAGCTTGCAGGAAAGGTATTAACTCTCTAACATTTCACTTTTTATTTGCCATTCACAGGGCATGATGCAACCTCAGGTTGCTCAATTTATATTTGCACATTTTCCCCTTGTCCACAGTGAGCTTCAAAAGCTTCCAACTCTACAAATTCTTTAAAAAGTTCAAGTGTCTAGCCTGAAAAGGTTGCAGGGCAGACCCAGTGACGCCACCTTTACTTAGGCCCAACAAAGTGCATTGAGAATGTGTGGAGTTGGGAAGGTATCTCAGGAAGGTAAAACGTGCAAAGGCAAAGAGAGAAGAACGTGGCAGTTACCTATCCCCCACCATTCTCACGCCAACTGGATTAGAAACTGCCAAAGACACCTTCTCCCCTGCACTCCTGCCTCCTGAACCCAGCTCCTCTTCCCAATCCAAAGGGCAGCAATAACGGCAAGGGTGAATGGGAGAAAAATATGCTCAAGTGTTCCGCCCTCCTCCTCCTCTTCCTGGTGACTTCCGCCCCCGCTTTCCACAGCGTGCCAGCCTCCCGGTCACCCAGTCATCGGCTACACCTTTGCACCACCCAACAAAATGGCAGGTTAGCAATAGGCGAGGTCATGGTCGCAGGAGATTGCTCTAGACAAGCAGAGGCCCCGTGGCTAAGTCCTGTCTCTGAAAGCTGCTCCAAGCCCGAACACCCTTGTCCCCTTAAAATCCCCAATTCTCAGCCCTGCCTAGCCTCCAGCTCGCTCTCCTGGGGCCATTTCCGTCGTCGCCGGCTAGGGAGCAGGTGCCAGCGTAACAGGTGCCAGGCGAGAGGGCCCGGGCAGCTGCTCCAGGCACTGAGATGACCCCGGGAGGGGGCGCAGGAAAAGGCCAAGTCGAAAGGAAGGAGGCTCCTGGCAGGGGCAGAGGGAGACAGTCAGGGAACCAGGATGCTGCTGCCTGTCCTCGCTCCCCGGGCGCGACCCTAGCCAACGCCACCCCACTTACAATCTCCAGGCAGACGAAGGCGCCGGAGTAGGTCCGCAGGATGTCGGGGCCAGCAGGCAGGGTGACCCGGGGCGCCGGGAAGGACACGGCAGGGTTCGGGGGCGGCGGGATTGGCGCTCCGCCGGCCGACATGCTGCC